GCCCCCTGCTCTGGGTGAGCCTGCTTGGGCAGGGGGGTGGCACTGGGTGAGCTCTGGGGGGCCCTGCCAGCCCCCACCAGTCTGGGATTCTGGGATTCTGCTTTCGATGTTGATTTTGCAGGACAGAGCCTTTACTGCTGAGGGTGGGCGGCAGGTTTTCAGATGAACTCGGTGCGTTTAAAATCCCTTGTTAAGTGACAGGCGGCAGAGGAGGAGATGGGTGACACTGGGGGGAACCAGTCCACGTTTCATCATCGCGTGATGAAGTGGCTCTGATGGGGACCCTTGGTACCCCACCACGGGATGGCAGTGGCACTGATGGGGACCCATGGTACCCCACCACGGGATGGCAGTGGCACCAATGGTGATACCTCACCACGGGATGGCAGTGGCACTGATGGAGTCCCATGGTACCCCACCACGGGATGGATGGAGCACCGGTGGGGCCCCATGATACCCCACCATGGGATGGCAGCAACACCGATGGGGACCCGTGGTACCCCACCACGGGATGGATGCAGCACCGATGGGGACACGTGATACCCCACCATGGGATGGACACAGCACTGATGGGCACCCGTGATACCCCACCACGGGATGGATGCAGCACCGATGGAGCCCCGTGATACCCCACCATGGGATGGCCGTGGCACCAATGGGGACCCGTGATACCCCACCATGGGAGATGGAGCCCTGAGATACCCCACCATGGGATGGACACAGCACCGATGGAGCCCCCTGATACCCCACCATGGGATGGCAGTGGCACTGTTGGGGACCCGTGGTACCCCACCATGGGATGGACACAGCACTGATGGAGCCCTGAGATACCCCACCACAGGATGGCAGTGGCACCGATGGGGACCCGTGGTACCCCACCACGGGATGTATGCGGCGCCGATGGGGACACGTGATGCCCCACCATGCTGCGGGCACCCCCAAAGAAGCTTTCTCTATTGGGAGCACCGGCAGAGCAGATTAAAAAAACCCCCATAAATGTTCTGTTGATAACAAGATGCTGATTTTTTGCTTTTTTTCTTTCTAAACAGGTGGTAGAAATTTCATTTAACTTCTGGTACAGACTGGGGGAGCACCTGTACAAGACGGACGATGCAGTGATCCACAGCATCTTCAAAGCCTACATCCAGCGCCTTCTCCACGCTCTGGCCAGACACTGCCAGCTCGACTCAGACCACGTAAGGCTGCCTTTGCTTTGGGTTCCCTCTGGAAGCGGCGGGGCGGCGGGACGTGCCCATCCTCCCCGCTGCACGCCGAGGGCTGCCCGTAGCTCTAGGGCTCTCCGGGTGATGGTTCTGCAGCTGCAGTAGTTGCAGAGGGAGGATTGAGAGTAATTAAAATTGCCCCATTAACCCTCTGCTGGTTCAGTCGGCCCTTGTACTAACAGAGCTTTCCAGGTGCTGTGGGATGAGCCTCTCCCGCCTCCCCCCAGGTGATTCCCACTTGGAGAGCTGCAGAGGGACGCCCCCTCCCCTGCTCCGGGGCGTTTTTGTTGGAACGGAGCTTGCGCAGCTACCTAGCCGCAGGGCTCTCCTCCTCCTCCTCGAAGCCTGGGATGCTTGATCCTTCCTCCACCTCTACCCATGCTCCTCATCCCCTTGATTTCCTTGGGCTGGGCTAGATGACCTCTAGAGGTCCCTTCCAACCCAAAGCATTCCATGATTTCCATCCCTTCATCTGCGTGTCAGAGCGGGAATACGCAGCACGTGTTCAGGCCGTCGGCGTTTCCTCTGCGCACGGTTCTCCTTCGATCCCCTCCAGAAGCTCGATCTGGGGAGAGGAGGGCAGGAACAACGGATCTCTCCTCTGAAACGGAATCGCTTGTCTTGTCCTAGCCGTGGTTGGGGGGGAACCCGGATTTCTCCGAGCTGCTCTCACCCTTTTGCTCTCCCTCATCTCTGTTAGGAGGGCGTCCCAGAGGAGACGGATGACTTTGGGGAGTTCCGGATGCGGGTCTCGGACCTGGTGAAAGACCTGATCTTCCTGGTGGGATCGGTGGAATGTTTTGCTCAGGTGGGTTGGCGGGAGCATCGTGAAGCACAGCTTCATCCATCGCTGTGCCAGAGGGAGCCGAGCCCTGGGGGCCTTCGGGGTGGGAGGAAGGTCACACACGCTACCTCCTCCTGCCTGGGGAAACAAATCTGTCTTGAAGTGGGCTGGGGGTGTTCAGCCTGGAGCAGAGGAGGCTGAGGGGAGCCCTCATCGCTGCCTACAAGTGCCTGAGAGGAGGGGGGAGCCGGGGGGGGGGTTTGGGGGTGGGATGGCAGGGGTAGGGGGGCGGTTGGGCTGGGGGAGCTTCAAGGGCTTTGCCAACCCAAACGATTCTGTGATTCTGTTCTAAGTGGGTGGTGGGGACTGTTCCGGGAGAAGCAGCAGGTCTCACGTTGGGGGGTACCAGTTGGGGAGCGGTACTCTGGTCCCAAAATAGCTGGGTGATCTTGTGGAGCACCAGGGTTCGTGGTGGGTCCACGCCTGGAGCCTGGTATTTCAGGGGTGCGGGAAGAGGCAAGGAGCAGGGCTGGCGATGTCGCAGGGCCGGGATCCGTGACCGCGTGCCCACGAGCTGTGCCTGTAGCTCGCTTTTGTGACTGATTCTCTCTCTTGCAGCTTTATGCGACTCTGAAGGACGGGAACCCACCCTGGGAGGTGACAGAAGCTGTCCTCTTCATCATGGCCTCCATAGCGAAGAGCGTTGACCAGTGAGTGTTGGCCATACTTGCCCGTGTCTGTAAGGGCTGTGGGGTCAGGAGTTGCCTCTGAGTGAGTTTTGCAGAGACACCATGAAATTCCCAAGGACTCTCCAAGGAATATGGAATCGTTTGGGTTGGAGAAGCCCTTGAAGCTCCCCCAGCTCACCCGCCCCCTACCCCTGCCATCCCACCCCCAAACCCTGGCCCTCAGCACCGCCTCTGCCC